GCCGGCGGCAGCCGGAGCGGCTGCTGAATCCGCCGCCGCTAGACCCCATTACTCTTCCCTTTTCGCCACTGGCCGGCACCCTCACCACTCTTCGCCGGTCCAAGAAGAAATATCGAGGCCATGGATGGCGATCCCTCCCGCATCCACTACTCCTTCCCCTTCATCGGGCAACTTTTCGGACGTAGGCGCCGCCGAGAAACGGGCGGCGGAGTGGGGCCTTGTCTTAAAGACTGATGGGGAGACAGGAAAGCCACAGGGCGTTAGGGTCAGGAAGTCTGATGAAGATGCTAGCAAGTCTCGCGGCGGGAGGGAGTCTGGGTCGCATCGGAGTTCGGAGGATTCTGATGCTGGAGGTGGTGGGAAGGACAAGGGCGGGCTTCCTAGGGTTTCGGAGGAGCTTAGGGAGGCACTCTCTGCGTTTCAGCAGACTTTTGTGGTATCTGATGCGACGAAGCCGGACCAACCCATCATGTACGCTAGCGAGGGATTCTTCCGGATGACGGGGTACACTTCCCGGGAGGTTATCGGCAGGAACTGGTAAGTTATAGATCCTTTACAGGTTCTTCATGGCATTGATTCTTCTTTTTTAAGCTTATTAACTTTCATTTAAACAATTGATCTTTAAATTATTTTAGCCGTGCCTTCGATTTCCACTCTGGTCTGATGTCGGTATGAGACTGGATAGAGCTGTTGGGATCGGCATTGATAACAATAATGCTGTTTCTAAAAGAGTCCATTTACAAGACATTTAGCTTGGCAATGACTATCGTGTATTCCGAATTGTCATTTTCTCCTCTTGCTTGCGCAGTCGGTTCTTGCAAGGTTCTGGGACTGACCCTGCAGAGATTTCAAAGATAAGGGAAGTTCTGGCTTCTGGTTCTAACTATTGCGGCCGCCTTTTGAACTATAAGAAGGATGGGTCTCCTTTTTGGAATCTGTTAACAATAGCACCCATCAAAGACGAGGAAGGGAATGTTCTCAAGTTCATTGGGTATGCTGTTATTCTGGTTTTTTTTTCTTTGTACGGGGAATTGAAAAGGAAATACTATTTTGGCGGGAATGTTAAAATGAATTTATGGCCGAATTGTTGGAGTTACCGACAATCAGCCTTTTTTTTTTGTACCAATAAAGATAAAGTATATACAAATAATAACTTTATTAAATTCTTTTCATCTTTCTGGTAAAAAATAAATTGAGGTACTTGAATTGAAATTTTTATTAGCATTCAATGAACAGCATAATTTGACTTTAGTTTGTTAGCCTTTTTCATGGCACTATTACTAACTTGTCTGTATGACACGTTTTTATATGGTGAAGAATGCAAGTAGAAGTCAGCAAGTACACTGAAGGGTCTAAAGAAACAATATGCCGTCCCAATGGACTGCCTGAGTCTTTGATAAAATATGATGGTATTAAACCCCCTCCTCTCCCATTGACATCTTCCATATGCTTTATGCTCAATTATTTTGCATTTTCTTCTGTTATTATTTGTTTTACAGCTAGGCAAAAGGACAGGGCTCGTAGCTCACTATCTGAGCTGGTGATGGCTGTAAAGGATCCTAATGCACTTCCAGACTCTAGTAGTCACTCCCTGTTCAGGAAATCTGAAGGTGGTGCAGATAAATTGAAAGCTGAAGATCAAGGAAGAAGAAATTCAGAAATTGCTGCTCCATTTAGAAGAAATTCTCGTGGGTCAACGAGAAGTTCAATGCAGAAAATTGACGAACTTCCTGAAGGAAGAAAAAAACCAAGAAAATCGGGTTTAAGTTCCCTCATGGGGTAGGATACTTAAGTGCCGCTATTCTACATGATGATCTATATCATGATATGCTGCTATAATTCCAATACCATTTAATGAACTTCATTAATACTCTAATTTACCAATTCAACTTTGATTCCTGATTTATTTGTTTAAAACCTAAGTTGCAACATCAATTTTGTTGATTGAATGGTTCTCCACACACATTAAGTGAAACTATGTTTGTTTCTGTTAACATGGCGTTTATTGCTGTTAACTATTCCATGTGGCAATCCTTGCTGCGGTTCCCTGATTTGCTTTCATAAAAAAATTCATCAAAACTCTGATATTCTGTATGTGCTTCATTTGGACTCCCACATTACTTGAAAGTTATTTCAGTGGTTATGAAGTTGATTATCCATTTATCTTTTGCTTTATGCATTTTTGAGTATATTGTAAGAGCTGAATGGTTAAGAAGCTAAATCTGATATATATATATATATATTCTTTTTGCTCATATGTAATTGTTAAGACATAAAATAAATAGAATGTAAAGGACAATATTTTCAAAAGAGATTTTAGTTGACTCTTCCTATACCTTTTTCTTTATCTCCATCTAGTCTAATTGGCTTACGCTCCACTCATGCGGATGAAGATGAGATAGATGTTCCATTGGAAGCAGATCCTGTTGAAGAAGATGATGATGAAAGGCCTGAGAGCTTTGAAGACAATGAAAGAAGAAAAGAAATGAGGAAGGGCATTGATCTCGCGACCACGTTAGAGCGGATTGAAAAGAATTTTGTCATCACTGATCCTAGATTACCTGACAATCCTATTGTAAGGCTTGAATTGAAATTACTATTATGCTGCCATCATTTCCATTCAGTATATGATTTATAGGTGTGTAAAACTTTGGCATTAATCTTTTCTGATTGTTGTGTAAATTTAGATTTTTGCATCGGACAGCTTCCTTGAGCTTACAGAATACAGTCGAGAAGAAATATTGGGAAGAAATTGTAGGTTAGTTCTTTTTTCAATTTAATAGATTTTTTCTTGTTAGTCACTTTTGAGTATTGTCGTTCTTCACCATTTTGTTCTAGACGACTGGTGTGTAATTTTTTTCTTTTTTAGTACAAAGAAGCTATGAAATTGGAAACTTGAAATATTTTTTCGTACAATCCAACTTTACAACTGTGCTTCCTTTCACTGCAATCTAGTGCCTTGCGGTCCTTATTTGATTTGAAGTATGTTTTCTTCTATTCATTGTTAAACTCTGGTAAGCACATGCGGTGTTCTAGGATTATACGAATTGAAATTCAGCTGCTTCTCTTTTATTACTGGCTCTTTTTAGCTAGGTTTCTGTTCTGCAAGAAAGATTAAAGGCAACCTGATTGAAATTCTCAAGAATTATGTTTTTCTTGTACTCCTATGTTTTTCTTGGGTATTAGGGACATGCCTTGTTCTCAAGTGGTACAGTGATAAGCTTGAATTATTGCATTCTACTTATATTTTGAGTGCTCTGCAGATTTCTCCAAGGCCCAGAAACTGATACAGCAACTGTAAGAAAAATAAGGGAAGCTATAGACAACGAAAGGGATGTAACAGTACAGCTGATAAATTACACAAGAAGTGGTATGCATAATTTGCTAATGAACTCACATTTAAATCTTAATTTCTAACTGACGGCTAAATTTTAGTGTTGATGCCAATATGCCAAGTCATCATTTTGATGTATTAGTATTTAGGGAGATTTACATGCATACCACAAAATTCTTATGTATTTACATATCAAACACCTAAATGTTCATAGTTATATTTATAGCATTTAGGTTTCATAAACATATGCATGAATAGGTGTATTTTACTTTTATAAAGAATGTAATGGTCATGTTTTTGATGATATCAAAGATTTAAGTGTTATGTGTTTAAATATGAAAGTTTATGTGAGTGTAAATACATAAGAATTGTGTGGGATGCATATAAATGCCCCTATTATTTATTGCTTATTATTTTTGTTGTATTTGATGTGATACACATGTTCTTACATCATATTTTACTTTATTATTGTGATCCGAATATTATTTTCTTCATATTTTTTAATTGAAATCGTATGTTACATATTTATAGACACTCTTCTCTGTATAGATTAGGAATGTACGTAAGATAGAAAGGATCTGAAATTAAATATCCTCTAATTTGGTTACCTAATATACAAGCTTCCTAATATACAGACTACCTAATATACTAGCTTTATATATTTAGTATTTTCCATAACACTACCCCCAAGGTGGAGCATAAATGTTTATCAAGCCCAACTTATTATAAATATAAGTGACTCGCTTTATTAAGGGCATTTGTGAAGATGTTCTCTAGTTCTTCCTTAGTCTTTATATGAGCTGTAGAAATCAAATCCCGTTGTATCTTTTTACGAACAAAATAGCAATCTATCTCAAATTGCTTTATTCGTTCATGAAAGATAGGTTTCGAAGGAATATGAATTGCAGGTTGGTTATCACACCACAACTTTGCTGGATTGGTCATCATAAAACCTATTTTTTCCATAAATTGGATGACCCACATTAATTCATTCAAATGTTGTGCCATTGCTCTATACTCAGATACTGCTCTGGGTCAGGACACGACATTTTGTTTCTTACTCTTCCATGAGACTAAATTAAGACCTATAAAAATATAATATCCTGTAATGGATCTTTGATTAATCTTGGAACTTGCTGAATCTGTAACAAGAAGCATTCTATATTTTTATGCCCATGATCCTGATATAGAATCCCTTTTTCAGGAGCTACTTAGGTAACTTAGTAAATTGGCTGAATGCTTTTTTTCTTTGCTTTCATTCCAATAAATAATAGTCATTACAATCTATTTTAATAGCCTATTAATACATAATAATGTGTACAATTTATTTTAGATAACTTAATTATACATATTCCTAATCTAAATATTCAGTTATAAGGAAAGAATATGAACAATTAAAAGAAGAAATTTAATGAAGTCATTTATAGAAGGAAACTCTTAATTCAGCTCGCTTTTATTTATTCTTGAATGATATTCTCTCTCAAAATAGATGCTGATTGATCAAGAAACATCAATTTGTCAACAAGGAATTGATGGTGCTGTCGAGAAAGGGCCTTAGTAAATATGTGAATCGTTTGATGATCCGAAGAGATATGAGGAAGAGAAATTACACCATTATCATAGACTTCTCGAATAGAATGACAATTCATTTGAATGTGTTTTGTGCGCTCAATGAAGACATGATTAACAGTAATCTGGATAACACTAGTATTATCTGCATAAAGAGTAGACTTAAGTTGAGGAAAACCAAGCTCAACCAACAAACCTCGAAGCCAAATGATCTCTGAACAAGCAGAAGACAACACGATATTCAGACTTAGTAGATGATTTAGACGCTCGATCTTGTTTCTTACTCTTTCAAGAAATTAGAGAATTGTCAAGAAACATACACCGACTAGTAATATATCGACGTGTATCAGAACAAATAGCCAAATCAGCATCACTATAGATTGTTAAGCGAATAGGAGACTTCACAAAAAAGAACAAACCACGATGAGAAGTGCTTTTCAAATACTTAACAATACGTCGAACTGCAGCTAAATGAAGATGTGCATGTGCCTGCATAAATTGACTAACTTATTGCACAACAAATGAAATATCAGGACGTTTGATGGTTATTAATTGAAACTCTCAACAAGTTGTCGATACAAAGATGAATCAGATAAAAAGTCACCATCATTCTGTTGATATTTAACATTCACTTCCAAAGGAGTACCAACAGGATGACACTCTTGGAGCCCAACCAAAGCAATAAGTTCCTTAGTATAGTTATGCTGGTGAAGAAAAAATACCAGTGGGAGAAGAGTGAATTTCAGTGCCTAAGAAATAAGTTAAAGACCCCAAATCCTTTAAATGAAAAGTACCCTGAAGACGTTTCTGTAATTGAGATATCAATTGAGTATCAGATCCTGTGATGACTATATCATCAACATAGACTAATAACAATACGATTCCCTTGTCAGTTTTGCAAAGAAATAATGAAGAATTATAATAATTTTGAATAAAAGAGAAGCTAAGAAGAGTATTGTGAAACTTTTCAAATCTGGCCCGTAAAGCCTGTTTCAAACCGTATAGAGATTGTTTGAGCGTACAAACATCATGTGAGGGTGTACAAAACAAGCTTGGAGGAGTCATATAGATATCTTCCTTGAGGTTCCCATACAAACATGCATTGTTAACATCCATCTGTCGTAAGGACCAGCTTTTAGATGCAACAATAAATAGAACAAATCAGACAGTTGTCATCTTAGTCACAAATGCAAAGGTCTCTTCATAATCAATCCATATTCCTATTGATTGCCAAGAGCTACCAATCATGCCTTATATCTGTCAAGGGAGCCATCAGATCGAAGCTTAGGAGAATAAATCCATTTACAACAAATGAGTGTAATGCCTACATGCATGAAACAATATCCCAAGTGTGATTGCCTTGAAGGGCTAGAAGATCCTCTTGCATGGCCTTTATCCACTAAGTCTGTTTAGCAGTTTGAGAATAAGATGTAGGAACTGTAATATTAGTTAAAGTTGTAGAATAGCCATATCTATTTGGAGGACGAATGTGTTGAGTTAATCGTCGAAGAATCATTGGAGCATTTTCTGGAGCAGGGTCAGGAAGGACTGAAGATGAAGGGCTCAGACATCGTGTGTAGACAAGGCCGAGCTTGAATCGTTTATTAAAACAAGAATCATCAAAGTGAGGAAGTATAACTGTGTCAGATGTTTAAAGATGATGTTGAAAATAATATTCATGTTCAAAGAAAATCATATTTTTGAGAGATACACTATTAAATTTTAATCAAATCGTAACACTCAAAACCTTTATGATTATGACTGTAACCTATAAAGACACATCAAACAGATGAGACTGCCAACTGATGCATTCATGGGCAGATAAATGAACAAAATAAACACATTCAAAAGTATGTAATATATGATAATTAAGATTTTTATAAAAAAATTGATAGTGGGGAGAATCAAACTTTAATTGTTGAGATGATAAACGATTAATCAAATAAACTATAGTAGATAAAGCTTCTGTCCAAATCTTAGCTGGAACTGAGAATTTTAACAACAATGTGCGCACTATATCCAACAGATGACGATTTTTCCGTTCAACAACTCCATTCTACTAAGTTGTATAAGGACATGAACATTGTGAGATAATATCCTTGTTATAAAGAAATGCTTGAAAGTCATGATCATGCATTCACCACCATTTTCAGATTGTAAGTTTTTAATACAATTGGAGAACTGAGTTTCAATATATGTCATAAAAGTTTGAAACACGATACACTTTTTTTTTGTAATGCAAAAAATAGATAAATGTGAATCGGCTGTAATCGTCAATAAATACCGCAAAATATTTATACTGAAAATGTGAAATAACCGGTGTAACTCTCCAAACATTACTATGAATAATGTCAAAGCATTTTTTATCACGACTGCCCAAATAGGAAAATACAATATCTTACTTTTGCCTAGTTTACTAGAGCAGTCAGCTAATAAACTTTTATCTGTAAAACCAAGAACACCACTTTGTAGCAAATGATTCAAAACATTATTATTTGGATCACCTAATCTTCTATGTCAGACGCCAGTCTTATTTTCATCAACTGAAAAAACTAATGTCAATGTCTTAGGAATGATACATTGTATTGGAAATAACCTGTCCACTTTAGGCTCATTCGCTATTGTAATGGAAATAACCTGCCCACTTTAGGCTCATTCGCTATCACCCTCCCCGACACTTGATTTTGCACTACACAACCATGACGAGATAAGTGTATATCACAGTTAATATTCACCATTTTACCAATAGAAAGTAAGTTTGTAGATAATTTAGGAGAAATCAAGACATGTCGGAAGGAGAGGCTAATATCATTAACTGTCATAATTGGAATATTATTTCTATTAGCAACCTGAATATGTGAAGTACCAATATACGTACGGGCGTTGATTATGCAATAAATTAGATATGCCACATGATTTGTGGCGCTGGAATCAATAAACCAAGGGATCCCTTGAAGACTAACAACAAAAAGACAGAGAAAATCATCTGTTGAATCGTAGCTGGTGCGAGAGCAGATTGATTATTGTAGACGGCTGTGGATGTTGAACCAGAATTGTGAGAGTCAAATACTGTAGCATGAAGGGCTTATGGTTTGCAGTTTTGAGGCTGTGTAGGACACTCCTTAATAATATTGTTAGTTTTTCTTGCAATAATTTCAGAACTTCTTACTACATTGGCGAGCTATATAGCGTCTTGTGTCGCAAATCTTTGTTCTTTGCGTAGTAATTCACCAAAACATACATCCAAACAAGGAACCAAATCTCTGTTCAGCAATCCAGCCTGAGCAGTTTCAAATTCAAGCCCGAACTTCATAAAAAATTGATCAAGACGACTCACTTCTTAAATAGCCTGAATACTAGCTAAATTCTCCTTTAACACCTTAGCATAAATATTGTCTGAATATTTGCTTCATAAATTAAGAAAACGAGAATAATAGTGTTCAATTGAGAGATTGACTTGACTATAA